TTCATTTTCTAATGATATCTTCTGTTCTTTAATTGAAATGTGCATTGCATTGCTAACAGCTGGTTTGAAAATGTGGTAACTTATGCATGCCTCGTCAGTTTATGTTCAAATATGGTACATACATCATACATGTTTGGATACATTCTATGATGATTCGTTTTGTGACTGGATCAAAGATGGCTGACTGGCAGTCATTTTGTTTTTTGAAAATGTTGTATCTTATGTATGCTTTGTCAGTTTTTGTTCAAATTTGGTACTTACATCATACATAATTCAGTTCGGATACGAAAAATGCATGAATAGCATATCCTGTTTAATTTCTGACCATATATTACATTTCTGGAAGCATCATTTAATAGATCTAATTTCTGTTGATACTAGACAAGCCAATTATTCACTCTCAATTACTAACTATGCTTTTAATGCATATTTCTTTCTTTTTTTGAATGAATAACTTTTCCCCTAATTCTAACGGGGACTATGACATTAACAATTACTTGTTTAATCTAGATTTATAATGAATGTTGTAATAGTTATATGTTTCTCTTAATAAACTTATTGAGTGTTTCTCTTTGATACATAATCTTGAAATATTTGTTACAGATGTATTGGAAGGTGACTATCGAGGTCAAAAAGTAGCAGTTAAATCCTTGAAAGACAACACGAACACAACGCATAAATTCTTAACAGAAGCCTCAGTTATGACGTAAGTTGCATTCTAGTTATTGTCATTTTGTTTCGATCGAAGTTATTTGTTTCATATCTTCTTGATTTTCAGTGTTTCTGTTTTTTTAGAGAAGCCTGATACTTTCTAGTTTGCTTCAGTCTTGATTGATCAATCGGCTTATACGTTCTATCTACTGAGCACATCATGTTTACAAAACTATGCATATTAAATTGGTAATTTGCATAAAATTATCAAAATGAAATTTAACTTCTTAAAAGGTTGGTTCTCGTGTTGATTTTTGAGGCATAAATCTGTGTTTATAAAATAGTATTGGGTGTGGATCATATGTAATACATTGACATAAATTTCTATTGTTTGCCAACAGCCCTTTCAAACTGACCCTCTAAACAGGCCCTTCATA